CATGCAGAGCTAAAATACCCAGCAATGGAAAAGTAGTGTTTGACTTTGATATTTGCTGTGCAGAAGCTTGGACACTATATGCTCTCACACAAGATCAGTTTGATTTCTCGAGTCAACCCTTTGCAGTACCTGATGACCCGTCTTTGCAGTACCTGATGACCCGTCCGACTTTGTCAGGTCGTCTAGCACGTTGGTCCATGATTTTATTGCAGTTTGACATTACTTTTGTCCCTCAGCGGGCCGTCAAAGGACAGACTCTAGCTGACTTTCTTGCTTCTCACCAGATTCCTGCAGATTCTCCACTTAATGATGATTTGTCTGATGAATTAGTCATGAGTGTAGAAGAGCAGGAGTCCCCTACTTGGGAGTTTTATTTTGATGGAGCTTCTTCCATCAAATCACTACGGCCTTATGAAACTCCTGTTGTTAGGGTAGGTTTGGGGCTTATTTTTGTATCTCCTGAAGGCCACACCCTTCATTACTCATACAGTCTTTCGGAGCCTCATACTAATAATGAAGCTGAGTACGAAGCCCTAATTGTAGGACTTGAGTTGGCCATTCAGATGAGCATTATGCGGGTAAAATTTTTTGGAGATTCCCAACTAATCATTAATCAAGTGGCAGGAATTTTCAAAGTTCTCAAACTTGAGCTTTTGCCTTACCACGATTTGGCAATGGAGCTCCTGTGTTTGTTCCCTGAAGTAACTTTAGTTAGAGTCCCTCGATCTGAGAATGGTAGAGCGGATGCACTAGCTAAACTTGCTAAGGAGTTGGCTGACCCTACTGGAAACCCAGTGTCGATTGTAGTCAAGTATCGACAAGCCTTGTGTCCCGCGGATTTGTCTTCTCCCGATCAGACCCTCGCAGTGCTCGCTGTTGAGGAAGAGTCAGATTGGAGAATCCCCTTCATCGAGTATTTGAAGCGTGGTAGACTTCCGGATGACCGCTCTCTGGCCACTCAGATTAGAAAGAGAGCTTTGTCATTTTCCTATGTGAATGAAACCCTGTACCGACGCTCTTTTGATCAGATGTGGTTACGTTGCCTCAAACGAGGAGGCTCGTAAAGTCATGGGCAAAGTACATGAGGGGCTTTGTGGTGCTCATCAGTCCGGACCTAAGATGAAGGTCAGAATTAAACGCCTTGGTTATTACTGGCCGACTATGATCCGTGATTGTATGGAGCACGCTAGAAAGTGCCACCAATGCCAGATTCATAATACTGTTATCCACCAACCTCCTAATCCGCTGCACCCCACTGTGTCTTCTTGACCTTTTGAGAGTTGGGGCACAGATGTAGTGGGTTCTATTGACCGTCCTTCCTCTAAGGGTCATAGGTTTATTCTGGCTGCAACTGATTACTTCTCTAAGTGGGCAGAAGCTATCCCGCCTAAGGAAGTCAAATCAGAAGATGTGATGCGCTTCTTTCGCGATCACGTCGTTTACCATTTTGGTGTTCCGCGCTGTATAATTTCGGATAACGGCCCATCTTTTAGAAGCACCAAAATTGCTAGATTTGCCCGCCGCCATAACATAAATTGGCGATATTCCTCGATTTACTATCCTAGGGCTAATGGTTTGACTGAAGCATTCAAAAAGACCTTAGTCCAGTTGATAAGGAAAATACTTGTGGCAAATAAAAGAGAATGACACGATAAATTTTCTAAAGCATTATGGGCTTATAGGACTACATACCGTACTCCGACTCAGTGTACACCATATGCTTTAGCTTTTGGGGTCGAAGCCGTTCTCCCACTTGAGGTTGAGCTCCCTTCGTTGCGTATAGTAGTTAGCCACAATCTGTCTCACAAAGATAATGCCCGACTCCGGTTGGAAGAACTTGATGGTTTAGAAGAGCTTCGTTTGCAAGCTTATCAGAACTTAAGGCCCGTATGGCCCAGGCCCATGATCGCCTTGTTCGACCCCGTGCTTTTCAGGTCAGGGAATTAGTCCTTGTCTTGCGTAGGTCTATTATCTCGCGTCGTCGTCAATATGGTAAATTTGAGCCCATTTGGGAAGGTCCATTCGTTATAGAGCAAGTATACGAAGGTGGATCTTACTTGTTAGTTGATGCGAATGGCGTTCATCCCAAGCCTGTCATTAATGGGCAGTACTTGAGAAAGTACTACGCTTGAGTTTGCACATCGCAAGGGGCATCCCCCGCCACTTGTAAATATCCCTCTGTATAAATATAACTTTGAAAGATTTCTTGTACTTTTCGGCAGTCCGTGGCAACGACGATTTGTCTTCTATGTAATGTTCGTCATGCATAGTATGAGATTGTTTTTAAAAGTTATATGTAAATACGCCGTAGGAATGTTTTATGTTTATGTTCACATTTACTAGTCACTTTGGTTTTGTTGCACAAAATCACCTTTCCAACCCCTGTAAGGGTTGGCTTTCCCCAGTTTCACTTTTCGCATTCAAGTGTGGTCTGGGATACCAAAACTACTAACTCGAATTTCTATGAAATGTAATACTGGGTCCATCCTTGATCTATATTTATCAAATATAGTAATATTGATCCATGATCAGTTTGTGAATTTCCCTACAAATTATTGTTGTAATTTTTCTCTCTCCCCAGTTTTACTCATGTGGCGAGTATGGCCTGGGATATCAAAGTCAGTAATTTTCCCCTCTTTATGTTCCGGTGTACTTTATCTATATCTGTGAACATAATGTAAAAAAAAAAAGAGGGAAGCTCTTAATTGAGTAGAATCGGTTGTACTTGCCCTTGTCACAGGTGGAACCCGGTTCTATGCTCCAAGAGCCCAAAGTCCCTCCTGCCTCTCCTTAAAACATTTCAATGATTGTATGGGAGATGACTGTATGTTCATTTCTTCGATTATGATTGTTCACTTTTAAAGGGATGTTGGTCTCCCTTACTTGTGATGTGGTACATTTGGCTCTAGATTTTAACATCACTTTTTAGTGGATTTTGATCTTCTAGTAGAAAGTCGATCCGCTACCTCTTTCAAATGATATATTTTCTCATTGAGATCTCGCTTTTAGTTATAAGAGAAGCCTCTTTTGAATGCATAAAGTGTTGCTTGTACTTCTCACAGGGTCCCATCAGTTAGAATGGGTGCTACCACTGTGATTTCTTCTAGTGATCATTGATCCTTAATATGATTACGATTTTTTTAGTGAAAAGTGTGTCCCCTTGTCACTTCTATGATATTTTTCTTTTTACACGGTCGTATATATGTTCCTCTTTTAGAGAGATGTATATCGATCGATTGCTTCATGATATGTGATTTCAATGCTATCTAAGAAATACTACTTATATTTTAATTACTCATGGCCACGACGATTTGTCATCTACCATGTGGTAACTAGAATATTAAGTTTGGAATTTCTTAGGTGATGGATTGCTTACTTCTCTTTCCCTCACTGCACCGCGTACGTGTGCGTCGGGTGGTTGTAGAGGTGACTTTCACTCTTTGTCTCGCCGTTGTGAATATGATAAGGCATACATTGAGTCGTCTCCATTCACTATTTCGATCTGGTCAGGTAAATGTGAGATTTTGTCTTTTGTCCTGCTGTTTCGATCTGGTCAGGCAGACATTAGACATTTTGGGAAGCTCATTATTCGCTGTTACGAATATGGTCAGGTGAATATTGAGCTATTCTCGTTCGCCGTTGCGAATGTGGTCAGAGGAATGCTAAACTCCCTTTATCTTTCCCCCTTTGTCTCGTTGTTTCGATCTGGTCAGGCGAACATTGGGTTGTCCTCAT